TGCTGGTTTCTATGGGTCCTTTATTTCCCTTTCCCTATTGAAACCATTAAACTTATTGGTTTCTATGGGTCCAATAGCCCTCACCTCGTGCTATCACACAAAGCAAACAGAATCAAAATCAGATGAGAAATGGCATAGGAGTGGCCTTTTGTAGGATTTTGAAGCAAAAGGTCAAAGATCATACACAGACACGCACAGAAACACACAAGTATGGCGCCCGTTTCACAGTCCCCTCCTCAAATTTGTTCGGTGGGGTCACAATTTAAATTAAAGACATTTTTTTTTTAAATGCAAGTTTGCATTGTTAAAAAATTCAATTTGTAAGAATCTGTAATTTTTATAATCTTTAGACTTCGAATTTAGATCATTGACCGCCCACAAATCACGGCTCTTGTGGCAAGGTTACGTCATCAAAAAAGGGTAGGTTTTTTTTTCCTCCACCAAGTTTTGAGACCTGTGCCTGTAATTTGAACTGCACATTCATTTATTGCTTATGAAAAGCAAAATGTTAATTCCCTAGACTCTATACAGCATACAAGCCTACACTGTACCTGCTACCAGACGAACGCTGACTCATTTTAACATGCATGCACATACAATGATCAGTGGCGGATCCAGCAGGGGGCGCACCCGGCATGTGCCCCCTCTATATTTTGAGAATTACCTCGTGAACATACACATTACTAAGGTTAAATTGTGATCTGCGCCCCCTCTTTATTTTTAATATGCTCTTTGCACCCCTCTAACTCTATTTTAAAATCCTGAATCCGCTACTGATGATATCACATTTAGCAGGGATTTGCAATTTTGTATTATAATGCACTTTATCCAAAACTTACCAGACCATTCTTCATCTTCTTTTAGCACCATGAGGCTGACTGTGGGATTGCTGGTCACCACATCTCCTAGTACGTCATCGTCTATACCAAACCCTTCTTGTTCATCCACAAGTACGAGATCTTCCCCATCCCTTATGTGGAATTTTCTTCTGACTGTAGGAGAGATTAAATAAATGAGAATAAATATCACAGTGCACTTTTCAGTTTCTTACAGATTGATGGCTCAGTCATAATAAACGAATGCTGCAAAAACTGCTGCTACAAGCCCAACTGTGCTATAGTATACAAATAACGCACGTCCCAGAGTGCAATAGCGGTGAATGCAGTACGCGCGAGGTTTCTTTATATTGGTGCCGCTCTGTGCAACAAGCCGCTTGCGGCGAGTTGACAGTGCGAACCATCTGAAGAAACCGAGCGAACACTGCATTTACGTTTCGCACAACAGGGTCAAGTGCGTTATTTGTTTTATAAAATAGCGACACAAACAGCAACAAACAAAAGTTTAGATCTTAAGTATACGAGAGTTCGATCTAGATCTAGAGTTATGTTGGTTCTAGAAATAAAATGAGGGTCTAAGACCTTGCAGGCTTACCAAAAAGTCTACAGGATTCATTGTTTGATTAAAAATAAAATGCATAGGGTGTCTAGAGACGAGTCTACATCAGACAGCTGAAATTCCTGGCTTCATTATAAAATCCAAAAGTCAAAACGGGTCTAAATCCAAGGCAAAAGTAAAACAAAAATTTGCTTTCTAATAATACCCCGCTCTAGCTAGAGCTAACGCGTACGCTGCGCTGGGGATCATGGTGGATCTTGGAGCGTACAATATTAGCTACGCGTAGCCTATAGCCTACAATGCACTCGAGGGAGCGTAGTACTACGCGTACGCGCGCGCACTGGATCCCCATGGTCACGCGTACGCACCGTGCAATATAACTTTTTACTGCGCTTTTTCTGCACTCATTTCTGCAAAATCGTGCTTGCATCAAAAATTTGTCAATGCCATGTGACGCGTATTGACCAATCACGATGCTTAAAATACTAGGCTAGATCTAGAGCCATTTTATAATACACCCTAAAACTGTTAAATGGGACATCAAGCTCAACCGGGGGTGGAGTTTGGACTGTTGTGTGCGCTACAAATAGTCTAGATCTAGATCTAGATCTAGAGATTGAATTTCCATGTTTATTATTTTTGCATTTTTTTTATTACATGAATGGGGTAGGCCTAGATCTAGTCTAGATCTAACGTTAGATCTAGATCTAGATATCTAGGCCTAATGTCAATGCAGATCTAACGTTAGAACTCTAGATCTAACTGTTAGGCCTAGAAATCTAGAGTCTAGATCTAGTCTAGACTTCTAGATCTAGATCTAGATCTAGCCTAGACCTGATATTTTTGCAAAAACCCAGGATTAGGCCCTAGACTAGGTCTAGATCTACTGATTTTTCCTTTACATTTTGAAACAAATAGGGTCTATGTATTAAATAACAATATATAGATCTAGACCTAGTCTAGATCTATCATGAATGTTTGCCCTTTGGAGTATTTATCAATGATAATTTTTCAGAAATCCATAAAATATTAAATGGCATCATGCTGACCGGATACCCAACCCGGCCGGACAGCCAAGGCATAGTACTAGGCCTAGACCTCTAGGCCTGGGCTACCCAACGACAGGCGCGGCTAGCGCCAGCTGACGAACACGTAATACTATAGGCTAGATCTATAAAAGTTTATAACAAACAAGAACCATGTACACTTACTGAGTTCAAAGAATCCTACTGTGTCTTCTGGATCTATAGGCAGGTATTTTCTAATACTTCGATCCGCTGAACAGACCCTGACGCTTAATGGCATGGTTGCATGCACTTCGATCACTTCACATCTAGAATCTAGGCCTAATTTGAAGAATTACTACTCCAGAATCAAGACTTCAAGTCAGTGCCAGTGAAATTCTCTAGCCACATGCTCTCGTCTAGCTGTGCGCGCGCAGCTGCAGAGGCGCATATCGGATCATATGACAACTTTCGTCCAATGATTTTCGTCGAATTCTCTAGCTTATGCGCATGTGCGATTTTATAACACCAAATATGACACCATCAGCCTGTAATTGAATATTTTCACACCGTTGGTGTTATTTTTCGCCAATCGGACATGAAATGAACACCAAGGGTGTTGATATTTTTCTATTCCATGCTGGTGTTGAATATTTAACACCCTGGTTTTTGCAGTGTATGCATGGCCTGAAATTGCAAATTTGTAAAACGTAAAGTAACAAAAAATTGAGAACTAAATTTATGAAAACAGTAGTATAGAAATTTAATCTTTTTCATTATTAATATATTACAAAATAAACATAAACGACGACATATGGAATGAAGTGGAATAAAACATCTACAGTATAAGCTTCTAATGTTGTATAACTTCACTTTACATAATTATCTTTAAAAAAAACAAGAAAAGAACTTTTTCGTTTTATACCATATTTTGGTACATGTATGTATAGGTACGTAATTAATGAATAACGGTACATTTGAACAGCCTTTTCAAAAGAATAAATTACACCCTAAAGGAGATAAGATCATGTGCCCTGGATCCTGTAACAAACCATGGTTTGTTAAGCTGCAGCTCACGCACCCAAACAAAATTCCTTCCCGGGGAGGCACTCCATCAACCTGTCGTCAATGGAGGGCCCACAGTACCCGGAATCCAGATGTATGGAATTCTCTACCTAACAATATTGGAAATATAAATATAAGTATATGGGTTTTTGTTTGTTTCTGTTGTATACGAGTTTTCTTTGGGGCAAATAAGTTTATGTAAATTCAAATCTTTATTGTGTTCACCACATTTTTTTCAACTACTTTATGGATAGATATCTCGCCAAACTCATTTATTTGGGTTTTTTCCCTTTTCCCATTATTGTTTAGTATTGTAATGTGCTTATGTTTATTCCTGTGAAAGATTGAGCATGTTATTTACAGTACTCTGCTTGCAAATGTATGTGTTCTTGCAGGCGCGTACGCAGGATTTTTTCAAGGGGGGGGGGGGGGGGGGGGTGTTTAACATTTATAAATCGGGCCGAAAATTTCGCAACGACTCAGCCAGCCGCTGAATAAGCGTGGGGGGGGGGGGGGGGATTAAGAGGACACTTTTTTTTTTTGGTATCGAAATTTGAAAATTTGACATTTTGCTCCGTTGGGGGGGGGGGTAAGGTCAGCTTTTTTAGGTCAGCCATGGGAATTTTTTCTTTCTTTTTTTTTTAATAAAAAAAAAAAAAAAAAAAATCCAAAAGGGGGGGGGGGATTTTAGGGAAATTTAGGGGGGGGGGTTTACACAAAAAAAATACCAAAGGGGGGGGGGTTACCCCCCAAAACCCTCCCCCTGTGCTCTTGCAATGTGATGTTAATGGAAATGAATAAACTAAATTTAATTGAAACATGAATTTAATTCTCTTATGATCTATATTTAAGACATTTTACTAGACTTCTTTTTTCTTACGGTTCTTTTTAAATGGTATAAATAGTTCACAATCCTTTAGGAATTTTATTTGTCATATATTATATATTTGAAAGGTGTTAACAGTTAAACAAGTCAAGCTCTGTTTGATTGTGTTTCATCACCTTTGTGTGTTCATTCTTTATACTGTATAATAATAGTTGCAACTTGTCTTTGATAATTGAAGTCAATTCAAATGGATTGTAAAAATGAAAATGATTTGATATATTATATTCTCTTTCATTTGATGTTAACTCCAATAAATTGTGAAATTGTGAACAGCATGCATGCATAAATAAAAATATTTAAAAAAAAAAAAAAATATGTCAATCTAGCGACGATTTTTTTTTTAAATAATTTGATTTTTCGTCAATTTTAATCAAATGTTATCATTCTCGCTCGAATTTACAGGTTAAACAAATGAGGTCTTCTTACTCAGTGTAAGTTTACGATTGCAATGATACCAAACTCAGTCAAATTCAAAATTAAAGAACCTTATTTTTCGGAGTAGAAAATGTTAAGCTAAAACGTAATAAACCAGACTGGATGAAAGACTACTATACGAAAGGTGGAAGAAATATGACGCGCGCGCGCGCGCGCGCGCGACGTTCATAATTAATGTACGTACCGTCCCTATACGTATTACGTATTTTTATGCAATACTGCGAAGCAAAATGGCTCCTTCTCCAGCTCCAGCGCCTTCCGAAGTTGATGTGTTTTCTGGACCACATAGCCGCATGAAACGACTGGTCCAGTTATATTCCGAGAAGGTAACATTCTTTGAATGATTATTATACCGGAAATGTGTATTTCAAATAATTCTCCTTGCACGTATTATTATGTTATTGTAATGTTTGTGCTCGATATTTCCGTGATGTGATATGTCTGTCCGTCTATAGTATGGGGCTATGTCTTTAGGAGGATCTTGCCTGGCGCGGCGGCACAACACTGTACACACACCCACGACAATTCTTGCACGTAAACGTAGTTTGTTTTATATTGACATTGCAGAAGACAACTCGATTGCTGTGTAGTGCAGCTGCATGCTGCATTGGTCATTGTGGTGTGATCATTTATGCATAATCATGATAGGTCTAGTCTAGATTAGACCAAATAAGCATAAGAATTAAGAGGCTTAACGAACGAAAGAGACAAAAAATTCGGTCTAGAACTAAGAAGAGTCTAGACTAGTCCTAGCTAGGTGTCTAGAGCTGGATCTAGATCTAGAATCTATACTTCTAAACTAAGCGAGCGGGCGCGCGCCTGTGTGAAGTTATCGACCGTAATGAGGATCTGAGACATTACGGTAGATAACTTCACACAGGCGCGCGCCATTTGCGCCTATGCTATCATTTCATCTAAAAAATCAATGCACAGACTATAGTATAGACCTAGATGATATCTATGGCTATGTTTAATGTAGGGAAAATTAAGACTACCGTGATCAAATTCTAATTATAAATACCAAATTTGAAAGCTAGTGTCCCTTTGTAGGATACAGACCTTAACTTAAAGATAAACTTTAGTACTGGTAATGCGATTGCATTGTGAAAGAAAAGGTGTGGAAAGGATCAGAAACAGTTGATCATGTAGCATGTAAGTATTGGTGTGCACTGCAAGGTTCTGGAGTCATCAAAATCATAATAAATTTGACCTGTTTGAGTCTTGAGTCTTGGTAAAGTAACAAGCACTCACATAGAAAGCTATATACGGGGCTAGTACTACCTTGATTTCCTTGTCTTTCTATGCTCATTACTCAGCCAGTATACATTTTCTTCCAAAATTGTTTGGCACATGTCATTTATTTGTAATCTTGAACATTCAGTGTAAGTTTCGTTTGATTCTGTGAGAATTTTTTTTTTTTTTACCAGTACTGGAGTTTATCTTTAATTATTTATATTTTTCCTGTCATTGTGACTTGCAGTTATCAGAAGTTGACCTGTCTAGCTGTTCTGACCTTCGTTCATTGCTGTGGATTCTGAAGGCAACTTTCTCAGAATTCAAGACTCATGAACACATCGAGAATGAATGCATTATGTGGAGACTGAAAAATAGATTACAATTTCTCAAGGTAACTACTACTTTCACCCAAAGTTTTCTTGTGTTTGGAGCAGAAAATTGTATACCCAGACGTTGTGTGTCAGCACAATTATTGATAACAGTAATTTTAAGAAGTTTACAAGCATACCCCCATAATGTAATTGGTATCACTATTTAATGTGCTAGTACAAGGGTATAGTGTTGAGCATTTTCTTTTTCTAACAGTTCAAGATTAATGTACAAGGGGTTATACTTCAAACACTAAAGGAATTGAATTGAAAACTGAATTACATTTTATTTTAAGTGTAATAAGCTACCCATGTCACATGTTGAATTGAACCTCTTGAACTAGTTCCTTGCCCATTTGGGATGACAGAAATGAGTAGGGACTTGTCAAAAGGTTAAAGAATTATCTTATCATACAATAAGTCATCCAGAGCTGCATGTAGCTTTCCATATTTGTTAACATCCTCATGGACTGTAACTCTTCACATATACTTCAATAATCTGTTTTGCTTACAGTTATACTTATCTTCAGCAGGGCTACACACTAACATTTTTTGGAGAGGGTCCAGATTCAACTATTCACAGTCTGAATGCATGAGCCCTTTTAAAAAAAAAAAATGTGGGGGTCCAGATTTAAATTTTAGGGGCACCGTCTACAGAATTGTATGATAGTTCTTGAAATTGTAAGCAGAAATTTATGTCTTCATAATTTTTCTAAAAGCTCATATCAGAACCTCACTTAATCTTGAAATCATTGAAATCATGCAAAAACTGCTTGTATAAACGCATGGTCTCGATTCTTCCAAACTCAAGCCTACTTTACACATACTGAACTTCAATAAAAATGTTGTCATGTTGTGTTTTCAGGTTGAGATAGCAGCTGTGTCTGAGGTTCACTCAGACAACAAACTAAGTGAGATGGTACAGCTGGTAGAAGATGCCTGCTGCCAAGCAGACAAGTGCACCTGCCCCAAGCAAGCAGCCCAGATAGGTCACAATCTTATCTTGGCACTCCGTAACTTCACAGAGGATTTCTTGCCTCACATGCAAGAGGAAGAAGAGGTTGGTTTCCATGCCATAACTTGAGGACTATTTCTTAAGCATTACCGTATTGATGTATGACACTTAAAGGAAAATGCTACGGCAAAATTATATTTTTATAAATGGCAAATTTGGCTAGGGGGAGTGGAAATAAAAAGCCATTTAACAAAACCCCTAATAAAAACCTGTCTATTTATGTATTGTGAGATACAGAAATCTGAAGTGCAACATTTTAACAGTAATATGTCATTTGTATACTAAAGCTTATCAGTACTAGTTTACAGGAGGGATTAGATCACACTGCAAGGTCACTGAACAGGTGGTTATTTCATCAACTCAGCTCTCAAATAACATAAGAAAAAGAGGATCACGGGGGACTAATGGTCACCGATTAGGCATTGTTTCTATATAGAGGGAGCAAGTAGCTACAAGTAGTGCAGTAGACCTTTAACAAAAGCAAATCACAATGATTCTCTTCAAAATCATGCATTCATTTTAGAAAAGAAAATTACAGTAGTAGACTGTGCATGTGATTTCAAATACTGTCAAAGGTTTTGGGAAAAAAACTTTCAACAAAGTGATCTCATTTATGATAGAGACGAATCATATCTTTTAACTCATCCAGTAGATTCAATGATTACTGCAGAGGTTCCAACCAGTACAATAATAAGAGTGAACACGAAATACGATATCACAAATATCAAAATCAATTTTCATCTTTCTTTCTTTTTTAAACAATTTTTTTTTTTTTTTAAACCCATAAAAACAGCGGAATCACAGAATTTTCTTTTTAATTTTTCTCATCAAATATTTCCTACATAAAATTGGAGCTGAATCATCACCAAACTGCGCCTGTGGAGAGATCCAAACTATGGATCATGTCATTGATGATTGTCCGATCTACAAATCCCCCCACGGCGCTTCCGGACTTCGTGAGCTCGATGATGAGACGATCTGTTGGCTCAATAAGGATCTTCCTATCTAGATGATGTACTCCCTGATATTCTTTGCACGAACGAACGAACGAATGAAAGAGCAAGCATTCTACTTGAGCAGTAAAACATTTTTCTGAAATTTTACTGGCCTGGGACCGACGGGCCAGTGGTAGTGTCAAGTTTTCGTGAAAATCTCGTTTTTTAGGTTACTCTGTCTGTTTTTGTGTCAAGAGGTTGGTATCTCTGTTACTGACATATTAGTACTCCTGAACTCTCTATGAGAGCCTGATTGGCATTGCCATTACCATTGATAATACCATCCATGCTTTTAATGATCAATAATAGATTTTCCAGCCTCTGTTGATGGAATACTTCAGCTACAATGAGTTGAAAGAGATCAAGTCCAATGTGATTGAGAAACACCAGAAGCTCACCAAGTACTGCCCAGAGGAAAAAGAAGAGTCAGAAGGTACAAGAACATTCTTTAAACCCCCAGTCACATTGCCAAACAAACTCCAAACTAATAGAGTCAGAAGGTACAAGAACATTCTTTAAACCCCCAGTCACATTGCCAAACAAACTCCAAACTAATAGAGTCAGAAGGTACAAGAACATTCTTTAAACCCCCAGTCACATTGCCAAACAAACTCAAAACTAACGCAAAATCAACTTAAAACAGGCCTGATAAAAACCCGATTTAAATCGGTTTCCCGATTTTTTGATTTTTCCCGATTTTTTCCCGATTTTTTCTTCCGATTTAAAAAAAAAAAAAAAAAAAAAAAAAAAAAAAAAAAAAAATCATTTTTTTTTTTTTTTTTTTTTTTTTACCAATTTTTTTTCTTCTTCCCTATTTTACCATGATTTTCCCGATTTCCCTCTTATTTTCTCTATTCTTCTTCCAATTTTTTTCACCAATTTTTTTTCTTCTTCCCTATTTTACCATGATTTTCCTGATTTCCCTCTTATTTTTCTCTATTCTTCCCTATTTTGCCCCAATTTTCTTACTCGAAAAGGGGGGAATGGTTAGATGCTAATTTTCCCCCGCGAATCCTCTTCTTTTTTTTTTACTCAAGGAGGGCGCGGTTGAGGGGAAAACAAAAAACCTATTTTTTTTTTAGTGCTCACTATCACCCCTGTTAAAAGCAATCAATGATTGACAACATTTTGACCATTTCTGGTGAATTAATGTTACTGTTTACCCTATTGTCAGCCTTGCATTGATCTCATCAGTGTGACTTGGGTATTACCCTTTAAAAAATGCTTGATAAAGACTGACAAATAAAATGTGGGTGACTGTGAAAAATCAGTTCTAGTTAAAGATGTACCCAAAATTTTGGTGAGCAGTGTATGATTGCTTGTTTTCTTTTATTGATTTCTCAAATCAGATGACAAAGAAACAATTGATGCCTCCAGAACTGCACCAGATGATGAAGAGGCATACAACGAGGAGGTGGAGGAGGAGGACAACACCCTGAGTAAGATTCAAGGACTGCCTGCTGAACTGCTACTGCATATCTTCTCTCACCTGAACCCCTTGGACCTGAGCCAGTGCAGCATGGTGTGTACCCGGTGGGCAGGACTAGCCAGAGACCCGTCTGTCTGGAAGCATCTATATCCATCACGCTGGGCCAAAGGTAAGGGGTTACTTGGTTAGATGCCAGTACACTCAAACTACTCTTCTTGAGGGTGATCTGATATTTGTTGTGCAAATAAACTGATTCTGATGGAGTCTGGTTTAAAATGAAGTCTTGTCTCTTTTGGATGTTGGATATTTCATCAGATATCATTTATGTATGTCTGTAAAAACCTATCACTGAATTCTTGGTCGAGAATTAAACTTGATGTAAATACAGAATGTCCTAGCATGTAGATTATTTTGGACATGCAACGGATCAAATAGGTGGAAATTGAAAACTACATGTATATGTGAAAGGAATATCACTCAAACATTCCTAGAATAATTAAGGGGCATGTTGAAACAAATTTACTATGTTTGAGGAGAAACAACAACTGGACGTTTGTCAGATTTTAAATTTGACAAGTAAAGTTTGATCAGAAATCCATCATGAACGTGTACTTTATCTATTTCCAATGATGTAGGTAACTGGCAGTTTGGTGCATCTGTTCATCTGCCTGAAGACATCGACATGGAGTCCTTGGAACAAGACAATGATGTCTATGTCGTGGTTGATGAGGATGCAGATTTTGATGAATCCGCATCTTCTGCCATTGAAAGTGATGCCAGTAATGCCAGTGTAGCTAGCTACAGGGCTGAATGCATTCGCCGGGAAGCACGCATGCTGGTTGCCATGGCGAAGTACCTAATTCCTCATGTTGGAGATGGTGTAGAGACAATCATTCTCTCAAACAGCAAAGGTGTCACTAATGGCTTGGTATGTCAATTTGCTCTTGATTCCATTATATTCATTGACTATCATTTGTCATGGTTTGGGAAAGTTACCTAGTTTCACATGCATTGCTATACAGCTATGTGACCCTATTGTTAAAGCTCTTGCAATAATCTCCATTGGTGTGAAGGATACATTGTCTAGTGAAGTGCAGAAAGGAACTAACTCAAATCATAAGTTGAAGACTTCCTTCTTTCAAGCAGATAATGTATCTAACTTTGATTCTCATGCATATTGGTTGAATATGGTTTTGTATTTTCATTACGTGTTCTTAAGGACAGTGGTATTCAAATTGTTAATGAGAATTTGTTTTTTGTTCTTTCTGTTTATTTACAGGTCTACAAGTTACTAATCCAATGTCCCAACCTGCAATATCTCAATTTGTCAGAAACCAAGATATCTGACATTGCATTCAAAGGGTAAGTTATTCCATTGAAGGAGGTTACAATAAACCTATTGTAGTGGATCAAATATACCATGCTCCAATGGGCAGAATATGTATAGAACATCATTCTTATTGAAAATACTATCGCTAGTGATATTCGTTTGTCTCGAAATATGGTCAACAAGGGATCTAAAAGATCACAATATTCTTAGTGTTTCTTATTCTTTTTTTCTCTTTCATTTTCCACTGATTTTTTAGAGTTGCGCTTGTTTTCCATTACCTGTTTAAAAATGTAGATATCGTATTAAAAAAGAGTTCTTGACTAGGTGTACCAAGTAGAACATAAGATCCTTTCTTTTTTGTTTACATTGGCATGTAGAGAAACATGCTTTAATGTGAATTTTTTTTTCCCCAAAGAGTGCTTATCTGTATGAAATCATTCCTATTAGACCACCTACTCACAAAGAGGACCTTTGTTTTTCTTGTGGTGGCTGTATGTACAGATATGAGTATAAATGAATTTGAATGAGTTATATATATATATATATATATATATATATATATATACTAACATGACTATAATATTTGCTTTCATAACAGGCTTGGAAAGAATGGTGTTGGTAGTAAGCTAAGGCACCTGGATCTCTCTGGCTGTGTGAACATCACGGACACAACCCTCCAGAGACTGGCATCTATCCGACAACCCCTGCAAACCATACCTGACAATCAGATGATGGACACTTCCAACTACGCCAAACCAGATTACCAGCACGGCGTCAACGATAAAAATGGCAGACCGCTGAATGTTGATCCTATGGTTAGTAACAGAGATCAGGGGTGTTGCTCAAGGAGACATAATGAGACACAACATGATACAGACATTGTCAACAGAAGGCAACAAGGGTCCTGTGATGGTGGTTGTCATGGAAACAACAGTGTTTCACACTCTCAAAGACTATCTATGGATACTGCTCCAAGGACTAAGAGCCGCCATGATGGCAGGCATGATAGGAGCAGTTACCATGGCACAGGAGAGTATGAGCATACGGATGGAGGCAATTTATCAAGACGACTGCAATTCTTGAGTCTGTCAGGTTGCTACAGGATCACTGATGTTGGATTAGGGTAAATATAATATATACCGATGCCTATAGAAAGCAGGTTGACACCTCATTGAGCCTTTGGGATGAATCAATAATCAAGAATATGAAAGTCACTGGGTTCAGTAAAAAGGGAGGAAGTTAAGTTAATAATAATTGGATTTATACAGCGCCTTTTCCAAAGGATACAAGGCGCTGTCTCTTAGACTATCAACAATTTAAGTGGAGTTGTACTAGTATGTTTTCAGTTGTTTTTGAAGAATCTAGTGAAGTACTGTTTCTTAAGAACGAGGGAGTTTTTTCCAAAAATGGGAAAAAAGAAAAATGTGATTAAGATATTTGTTTTCTTTTTTCGGGGGGGGGGGGGGGGAATCTGTTCACTATCATATTCTCAAAATCAAAAAAGGCATTTAATGAGGATGAAAACTTAAGATTTCTCTCTACTTTGTACTGATTTTAATAACATCAAATTCTGATTTATAACACCTTGTCTTCCTCAAATCAAAGGATGACTGATTTTAAACATTCATGCAATAAACAGTCATGTCCATGACTTTAAATCTATAATGGGAATGGGGGGGTTGATATCTCGACCTTTTGTCTAATACATGGCAACATTTTTGTGTCAGTAATAGTGTGAATGCTGTGTAACCTTCTATTTTTATATCACAGTGCATTTGGTTAGTACTGTGTTCAGTTCGTCAGTCCTGCTTAGGGGATTGTACCTTGATAACCTGCCAGCTGTGACTACATCCATGGAAGGGATGAATTGGCTAAAAAGGACAGAATAGTTGATAGTACTCTTAGTATTTGGGAATTTTAGAAGTACATGTAGACGATGTAGTAGAAGTAGTCGTAGAATTGGTACATATGGTAATTGTATTCAATGTTTATACAAAGATGTTACCAACATTACAGTGTATGCTGTGGAATTAACGAGTACCACTTCATTATCTCATCATGTAATTGTGATGTGTGATTTTGGTACGACAGGTAAGTGAATTATACTTTTTGCATAATATTAAATAATTTAAATTAAGTTCATTTCATTTCAAATACTTGTGGCAGATATGCCTAATGAATACCATGAATGATTTCAAGAAGTTTTAAATATATTTACTCTTACATGTAATCATTTGATGAAATAAGTCAGCCTTATGTTTAATGTATTTTTCCAGGCCATTGATTTGGTTTGAAATGTTATCTTGGTGCAACTTTTCTCAAAGACAATTGTGAACACAAGGAAGACATATTTAGTCCAAGTTTTAGTTATAGCTATGGTACAAACAGTGTTTCAACCTATCTAGCATTACCAGTCATGAACTGGTTTTAATTTTAAGAATGAAGACAAGTTTGACTTTAGTACAGTTGTATTTGTGTATTAGCAGCTTATACCATCTTTGGCATTGTATGGTTTAATTCTATTTATTTCATTGTTAACAAGAGTAAGGCCTAAAAAAAAAAAATTGATGACTTGGCGTAACGGGTCACTGAAAATTAGGGTAGGTAGGGCGATTTTTTTTTTTTTTTTTTTTTTTTTGTGTTGTTGTTGCTTATATTTGCATACATGAAATTAGCCATTCATACACATACATACATACATAGCCATTCATACACATACATACATACAGTGGCGTAGATAGGCCGTCCTCAGACCCTGGGGATGATCTGATGAGAGGGGTAGACCACAATATGTTCAAAAACTCCACGCACACACATATGGACACACACACTGTGTAAGCAAGTGAGCAAGAAATTGTTGAAATCTTGATCACCTGGGACCTGGGGGATGCATACATCCACCTGCCCCCCCCCCCCCCCTGCATACATACATGTACATGTATACACCCTCATGCACATAAAATGCAAACATACTATGGCGTACCTGCCCGCTGCACTCGGCGCGCGAGCTGGCTCAAACACGGCGCGGCAAAGCCCAGAACGAAAGCAACAAACATCGGGTTTCCCCACTCGATATCGATATTTATCGCAATCGGATCAAAAAAAATAAAAATGCGTAGGGTCGGCGATAAAAATAGGGTCGGGCGGGTTACGCCAAGTCATCAATTTTTTTTTTTAGGCCTAAGAGATAGTAATTCATACTTAAAGGCCCAAATTCACAAAGGAGTTTTAGATTTAGGTTACGCTTATTTTGCGCTCATTTTTAAACCATGGGTTATGTAAATGAGGATTTAAACCATGGGTTAAATCTAAACCTCCTTTGTGAAGTCGGGCCATTGTTTTCATACTTAAAGCATGTTTTTCAACCTCTTTCTCTCTCTTCTACACTAGATTACTGTCTCAAGGAGGGGGCTGGCCCAACCTCGCCCATCTTGATCTCTCTGGATGCCTCAATGTCAGCGGGGCGGGGCTGTCTCTCCTGGCAGACATCTGCCCCACCCTCAACCACGAGACATTCTACTACTGTGATAATATCGAGGAGGGACCGTACGCTGACACTGCCAGTGGCTGCCAGAATCTTCAGTGCGGTAACAGGGTATGCTGCCGTCTGGGAGAGTAGAGAACTTTTGATACTGCAGAAATGATGTTACATAATTCTAGGGCAAGTCTTATCTACGTTGTAATTTGGTGTGTCTTTCTTACAAATTATCAAGGAGTTCTGAGGATATATCTTCTGTTTGGAACAACATGATAAGTCTGTGTTAAAATACAGGAGTTAATGCCACTGTTGCTCCAACAGACAAAATTCATGTCAAATGTATCACATCACATCATTTTTTGTTCAGATCCAATCTCTAGTAGGGCTATTAATGTAATACAATGGTCAGGTATGCTCCAAGCTGATGGTTGGATACGTATGGGACAGAATAGCTTGGACTTGCCCTCAGTTGTTCAATCGTTGTTAGATTTTTTTTCTAGCAGAATGCTATTGTACAATGCATAAATTTCTTCATGCTGCAGATTTTAGACCACCCTTTTAATGTCCTATCCGAGGAACAGTGTTTTCCACTGTAACATAGCGTGCGTCTATGAAACAGGAGAGGGGCATGTTAACACACAATGCAGGCTTCAGTCATCCGCTTGAGTTGATTTCTTAACCACGATCTTTGGTTCAATAGTCAGAGGCTTTATCAACTGAGCCAACTCGCATGCTTTAAATTCAAAGATGTAATCCAATCTTGTGTAGCAACATTTCATTTATGGTCATGTGTCTGAATATGAATTAGAATGTTATCATTAATATGCTTTCTATTAGACATCTTGAAGAGCCTAAGATTGATGTGATATTTCTGTCTTTTGCAGCTGTACTCTTTCTTTCCATTGTCATCAGTACATTTTCTACTAAAGTCATCACAATGTTCAGTTGAACTTAGAATCCAAAGTTCTACTCCTGCTACATGTATTTATTCAAGCAATATTAAATTATATACCAAAAAGTAACTGATGTTTGTTGAGCCACAGTGATACAAAAATATTATCTTCCCATAGTCTATGTCTTGTAGCATACAGTCAAAATTCACAGTAAAGTGTTTACTCTTTAGAATTCACAAGTTGACATTTGAACTGATATATTAATATGATGGTCATGTCACTGTGCAATTTACAGGAATTGAATATATCTAATGTTTCTTAGAAAGATCACAAATGTTATGTCAGTATACTATAAAAACATCATATTACACTACACGATATATGCATACTTTTTAGTTGTCATCAACAGCAAAGACTCATATGCATTTTAAAACACTGTTAGGATTGTATATTGTATTTGATTACAAACAGACCTTTTCTAGTGTAGCCCATGCTTGTGTACATTCATTTCTTTTGATTTTTGAGATCAACTCAAGTTTTATACTTTAGAATTATCTCAATATGTTCATTTTTAGACCAACATTTACAAAGTGTTCCATCATATTTGCATCAATTAGCAAAAGAGGTTCAGGACAATTTAAAGAAAAGAATCGATGTAAACTTGCTTTTGTATTATACATTCTTTTTCCACAGTCTTGTGTTAATTTAATGTTTTACAAATATAGTTTTGTTATGTATGACATGTAATATTTTGAAAAGAACATATATTTATTCCATTACATCATCCAGTTTAGTAAGGTAAAGTATAGATACGATTGAAATCACTTGTTAAAAGAAAAAGATCAGTCCAAAATGACATGATATACATGTACATGTAATTTCAGATAATCCTTTAACACATATTATGAAGGGAATGTAAGCAGACAGCAGGAGATGAAGAAAGATTGATTATGGCACCATGGAATTGTGTAGGGTGCACAATATATTATCATAACAGGAGGAAGAGAAGAAGAGCATGTAAATAAAAAATATATTATTACAATAAATAAAAGTTTGAAAGGACAAGTGATTTGAAATTTGAATTCATTTGTAAATATGTGTTCTAATACTGTTTCCACACAAAAAATCTGGTGTAGAGTGTGTTTCTTATAAAAGTATTCATGTTCTTTTGTTCTGTAATACCTCGGTCACACAGACGTGACTGACAAATACTTGAGACTAAACAAATTACCCTGAATTGAAGATTTTCTCAACTTTTCAGTCAGATTGCGGCTGGACTAAGGTATTGTGTTCCTATCCATCCCAATACCTTTTAAAATCATATTCGGGGGGGGGGGGGGGGTGGGGCAAATACACATTGAACTAGGATGTTATGCAGGCACGTTGTATTTCAACATTTGGTGTGTGGTGTGGTGTGTGTGGTAAACATCAGTGGTAATGTTGATTAATTAAGCAGCAAGAACATTGTGTAGGAGGCTTTATTAGCCAATGGTGATGTTAGCTGTATGTCCTTGGTTGGCTTTGTGGCTATATATCAGATCATAAGGTGGTTGGGTGAAAGTAAACAAAGGTGTACAAAAATGTATTTTTAAAAACTTCTTGTAGTGTTTTTTTCTTCAAAATTTGGTGCAACACGATATTGCCATTGCACTTATCATCATCCTACATTACATGGTGAAACTGCTGTATTGTTGTAATTGCTTCCTCTGTATCGGATATTTAAATTATTATGATGGGTCTTACAAATTGATGCAACTCTAAGAATATGATGAACATTACTTACATCATCTAACCCCCCCCCCCCCCCCAAAAAAAAAGAAGCTATATTTTCATAAAACATGGTAATGAGTGCACTCCACCAGTGTCACACCGATCAGTTAGAGTCACCAATTTGATTTATTTATCTTTTCCTATATCTGGGGTTTTAGTGTTTTTTTTGTTAATTCCTGTAGGATACTTTTGGACGTGTTTGCCCCTCCCACCACTTGCAGAATCATGGTCTCGCCTTAATTTGCCATTTCATGATTGTCCATCTGTTTATATCTATTCGATTTTAAAGCATTATAGTTCATTACATCATTAGGGCTTTTGACGAAAATAACCCTCACAAATGAAATGAAATCGGTTAAAATGATGAACTCTTATTGTCTTGACACATGGCACGCCCCCTTGATATGGAAGCCAACTTTAAAGTGAACTGAATTTATTGACTGTAGTAATGACGGTTGAATATATTAATAAATTATTGCTGTCCGGTTCCGCCTCTGGCATGAGGGGGGAAACGGAATTCTTAATTTCAACCTTTGACCGAACACTATAGTATACCTTACCCTAAATCTAACCTTAAACCCCGTTGCGATAATGATTAATCTTAACCTTTATACAATTTGTGACGACATATACTTGAAGTCGAAGAGTAATGGTCGCCGGGACAAATGTTACGATCATCAAAGTACTAACATACCACCTGCCTAATTTATTGCTGTAACTACACCCCCCCCCCCAAAAAAAAGACAACAAAATTACAAGTTGTCTGAACCGATTGCTGAACTTTCAAGTCATCAAATACATTAAAAATCTGTGTAAGTTGTTTACAATGCGTTTCTGTAACCACAAAATAACAAAGCTCACTAAAGAGAAGAACTGAACTCAAAAACGTCATTGAATATTATCTGTCTTAATTAGTGACACAGGTTCATAACTGTAAACAAACGGAACTCGGTATAGCGAGCGAGAGGCAGTGAATCCTACACCAAATATGGTCATATACAAACCACGATTTCCGATTGGGAAATACATGTACCGTCACGTGCCTTTAATACTGACATAACACATCTGAAAGCGTAGACATTAACTGCTCTTTCCATTATACTTCTATATCACGATCGCAAAGACTTTTTCAAAAAATCAACCCGGCGCAATAATAGCCTTGTTCCTCACGCGTACACACACATAGGGATAAATAAAGTTACGTAATCAAAATTAATTTCTTCAGGACAAATTATATACAATAGGTTATTGAAAGGGCAAAATATCAGAAGTGAAAAGGGGAATATCTCGCATATGCACCCGAAAAAACGTACTCATCAGAGATGAAAAGAGAGGAAAATGACAGTTATTAAAAAGAAAAAGGGCTCTTGTCCTATGTAAAAGGGGCTTCTGGGGGTACTTACAAAAGTGTGGGCACAGCTAGTGCCCCCTCCTCTCACCACGGCCGGAGTTCCGCCTCTGGCATGAGGGGGAGACAACGGAATTTCATGTCATTTTAGCAACATTTGTAAATCACTGGTATCGAATTTGAAATAAACCACTTTGAATTTTATCTTGGGGGTCAACTCCCCCCCCCCCCCCCCATCATCAGTATATGCCAGTGGTGTGGAGCCTTAATATCTCTAAATATAGTAGCTGTCATTGGCGTAGTGTGGGACCGACCATTGATGGGGCACCGATCTTACTCGGGATCTTACTCGGTGAATATAAGATTCGAATTAGGAAGATCACGTATCGTTTATAGGGGCGGGTGTGGGAAGGGTCCTTTTCTTCTCTCGTCATTTTCCCCACTCTCTTGCATTTGCTCCTATTTTCTCTGATTATTATATTTCGCCACTCGATGTGAAGGATGGAACTACCCACACACCCCTACCCCGCATAGCTACGCCACTAGCTGCCCCTTTCCAGTTTTTCCACATTATAGATGGATAAATGTCCAGTTCGAGGTTGCCACCTGCACCGCCTTCCTGTCGGCTATGAGTATGACGCGGATTGTTCCGGAGAGCAGAACGCTTCCGGTGACCATAACGTGGGTCGCCTGAACCCACTAATCCAACTGCATCACACCCACCGATTCGAATAAAAGCTCAGACATACCAAAGATATAATAAATGTATATTAATGGATTTCAGTGGCGGATCCCGGATTATCTGGGCGAGTAAGCTAGGGGAGGGGGGGGGGGGGTCAGAAGGGCACACATCCGAACATTTTCTGACAAATAGAGTAACAGGGAAAAGGGGTATGACCAAATTTCTAGGTGTATAAAATTATGTTTATTCCTCAGTTTTGTGACCATTTTTTTAAATAAAGAAAATAAGAGGGGCGAAATTATCTTGAGGGCATGAGAGATAGGGTTTGCCGGGGATGGGGTGATACGGTGTCCATCGTCTCCGCCCCACACCCCCCCCCCCCCCCCGATCCACCAGCTGGATGGTCCCGGCGCGGATCCAGGTTTTTTAGGGGGGCCAAAATTAGAAATCAGTTTGAAATTTAGTGTACTGAAATTTAGAAATCGCGCCGGCCGATATTTCGCTGGGGGGGGGGGGGGGGGGGGAAGCACTATTTTTTGTTTCTTTTTTCACTCGGGAGTTTGGAAATCGCGTCGGCCGATTCTCCCCCCCCCCCCCCCTTTGAGCAACAAAATAAAGGTAAATTTCTGGTCACACTTTGTTTTCTTTTGTTGCTAGGTCGGACAAAACAGCTGCTGGTCAAGTACGTGTTCTCTAAGATAGACGGGCCTATGCAACCTTACGCATGCATTTATCAAGAAGGATGCACGTCTCTTTGTGCCCACTCTCGGTTGTTGAAAGGTTCTCCGAGACAGGCGGTTGGG